TGTTATTTTCAGCTGAGTTGGTCTTGGTTTGGGGTAGCTCAAACTCGGCCACACGATAGTAATGACACTGAGTTAAGTATTTTATAAAGTGTTCGCGAGCCTGCTGCAAATGATCTAGACGCTTACTGGGGTTGACTTGTTTCATGGTGAGGGCTCCTTGAAACGCTGGCACCATCAGGTACTTCAGGTCGGTGGAAGTAATCTCCTCCAAATCTTCATTTCGGCTAAACAAGTCGAGCTGCGATAACATTTTGGCAACCTTCTGAAGGAGGTCGAGGCCCTTTAACACCTTTTCCTGGACTATCCGGGAACCGGTGGGTTCAGTCGCTCCTTCGACTTCTTCCAGAAGCTGTTTGCTGGAATCGAACAGCTCGGGGAGCCGCGGCGGCGGCAGAAACTCGTCTTCAGCAGCTGCCATCTTGGGAAGGCTGACGTGTAATGTTGATTCCTTCCCTTTCTGGACACACGTAAAGATTCTGGCGCGGATTTCTAACAACCAGTCTCAATCGGGCGCTGCCGAGCAGGGCAGTCAGGGAGGCGGTGGCGATGGGGAGACATAGGGGAAAGCAACAGAGTCGGTTGTGCCGGGTCTGAATCGCTGCTCCACTCTGGGTCTTCGTCAAACTTTGTCTCTCTGTTTTCGTTTCCTAAAATTGTAAAGTGGGAATAATACTGCCTGCCTGGCTCACAAGATTTCTGTGAGGACTGAATAAGAGAATGCATTTAAAATGCGGCTACCCCCAACCCAGGCTATTCTGCCCCTCGACTGCTGCCCCCTGTACTTTGGAACCCCCAAACTGACTTTGCCAAGATTCAAGTATCTGCAGTTCCTGCCACACAGGCAAGTAGCATCAGGCCTGGATTTGGTAACAAACTGAGTGCGCTTATATGTGTATATCTGTGTATGTATGATGTACAAAGTACTGGGATTACAGGCGTGAGCCACCACGCCTGGCCTAAAACTCAGTTTTTAAAAATTACTGAGCGGCCGGGCGCGGTGGCTCACACCTGTAATCCCACCACTTTGGGAGGCCGAGGCGGGCGGACTACGAGGTCGGGAGACTGAGACCATCCTGGCTAACACAGTGAAACCCCGTCTCTACTAGAAATACAAACAATTAGCTGGGCGTGGTGGCAGGTGCCTGTAATCCCAGCTACTCAGGAGGCTGAGGCAGGAGAATTGCTTGTACATAATACATATTATGTGTGTACAGATATATAGCACACATGTTACACACACACACATACACAGAATCAAACCAACTACATGACCAAATCATGACTAAATCAAAGGCCCCAAATAAGTTGAGATGGAGAAACACAGCCCCTCAATACAGAATGTTATTTGGAGAGTTCCCTCACACGTGGGGAAGGGCAACACGCGCACACCTATTAATCTCAGATCATGGCTGTTCCTGCCAACTCAGGTGTGCTGTCCTAAGACATGCCCCTCAGTTTGTGAGTCTCACCTCATCTCTGAATTTCCAACCATCCCTTAGCCTCATGGGGGTCAAGGAAGGAAGGGCTGATGCTCAGAAATATGAGATTGACATATATACTCAGTAGTTTTTAAAAGCTGAGTTTTGTCATATAAGTTCACAGAGCAATTGTGACTGTTAAAACGTCATTAATGTTGGCCAGGCGTGGTGGCTCACACCTGTAATCCCAGCACTTTGGGAGGCCGAGGCAGCTGGATCACCTGAGGTCAGGAGTTTGAGACCATCCTGACTTGGAGAAACCCTGTCTCTACTAAAAATACCAAATTAGCCAGTTGTGGTGGCACATGCCTGTAACCCCAACTACTTAGGAGGCTGAGGCAGGATAATTGCTTGAACGTGGGAGGCGGAGGTTGCAGTAAGCCGAGATCACGCTATTGCACTCTAGCCTGGGCAACAAGAGCAGAACTCTGTCTCAAAAAAAAAAAAAAAAAAGTCATTAATGCCAATGTCACTGAATCTAATTTATTATTATTATTATTATTTTTAAGACAGAGTCTCACTCTGTCACCCAGGCTGGAGTGCAGTGACATGATCTTGGCTCACTGCAACCTCCATCTCTTGAATTCAAGCAATTCTCCTGCCTCAGCCTCCTGAGTAGCTGGAACTATAGGCATGCATCACCACATCTGGCTAATTTTTTGTGTTTTTGGTAGAGACAGGGTTTCGCCATGTTGGCCAGGCTGGTCTCGAACCCCTGACCTCAGGTGATCTGCCTGCCTCAGCCTCCCGAAGTGCTGGGATTACAGGCATGAGCCACTGTGCCCGGCCACTAAATGTCTTACTCAACACTCTGAGTTGTGGAGAGCCAAATCCATTCACTCCTGAAACACACTGGCCCTGAAGCTGCATTTCTCAGCCACAAAGCTCTGCAATAAAAACCATACTAACTCTGTTTAGGCCAGGGGCGGTAGCTCATGCCTGTAATCCCATCACTTTGGGAGGCCGAGGTGCTGATATCACCTGAGCTTGGGGAGATTGAGGCTGTGTTGTGCCACTACACTCCAGCCTAGTGAGAGTAAGACCCTGTCTTAACCGCTCCCCAATCAACAAAAAACAACAACAGCAGCAAAAAACCAACTCCACACTATTTAGTACAATTGCTGATTTAGGACAATTGCTGGATTACCTTCATCCACAAAGTGTGACCCAGCCCACCTCAGTTATACTATATAATCTCATTATTGAACTATCTTCCTAATTTTATTCCAGAAGGTTTGATTTCACATCAGGAAAGTAATACTTTGGCTGCTTTCAATGGTATCCAGGAATGCCAGGCTGACAACAGCTCTGAGGCCTCTATGATTATTTGTGCCCCCCATGGCTCTGATATCACAGGTACTAACAGACCCTTTTTGCTATGCTGGGAGAACTTCATTTCTGATGACCACATTGTCTACTCCAGTATTTTCACCATTCATAAAGTATTATTGAATTTCTTTGAGTGCTGCTAATGATGAAAAACACCTGTTCTCAAGTCATTACTTACACGTAGTGCATACTTTTCATTTACTCACAGCCACTTAAATGTTCAAGGTCCAGTCCACTGGCCTGGCCTCTGGGGATACTAAGAGGAATAATGCAAAGACCGAGTCTGCCTGCAATAAATAAGATCATAGTCTGTAGGGAAAACAGACTTGCCAGACTATAAAAAGTTCAGTCAGAGCCACATTACGATTTTGAAGGGCCCATACTTTTGCCTTTGTGTGCCTGCCTCCTCTGTTAAAATATACATATTTCCATTAAAATGTATATTAAAAATGCTATCTTATGACTGCATTGATTAAAACATGAATATATTATTATATATGACATTTTCTTCCAGCTAAAAATTCATTTTTTTCTTCTGATTTTTAAAAGAAGTGCCCCTAGGCCCTGTGCCTATGGTACCTAACAGATAAGGTTAGGTGGGTTCAGTGGCACTGAGTGGATCCCAGGCAGTTTGGAAGGGCTGAAGTACAAGTTTTCCAGGTAGATGAAGAACGGCAGGGCAGGGAAGTGCATTCCAGGAAGAGCAGGCATATAAGTTTATGGAAGTAATACAGTAAGGCTGTCTGGAAACTTTAAAGTAAGGAAACAGATTAAGTAGAGCAATGCTTCTCCAGTGGAATATGGTGTGGGCAACATTCAACATATTCAATTGAACATTTTTAGTAGCTATATTATTATTTTTATTATTTTTTATTTATAGAGATGAGGGTCTCGCTATGCTGCCCAGTCTGGTCTTGAGCTCCTGGTCTCAAGCCATCCTCCTGCCTCAGCCTCCCAAAGTACTGGGATTACAAGTGTGAGTCATCAGGCCGGGCCCACATGAAATTAACTTTATTATCATGTTTTGACTGGGCACGATGACTCATGCCTAAAATCCCAGCACTTTGGGAGGCTGAGGCCGGGTGGCTTGAGGCCAGCAGTTGACAATTAGCCTGACCAACTTGCCTAAACCCTGCCTGTACCAAAAATACAATTAGCTTATTGTGGTCATGCATGGCTGCAGTCCAGCTACTCTGAGGTTGAGGCATGAGAATTGCTTGAACCTGGGAGGCGGAGGTTGCAGTGAGCTGAGATTACACTACTGCACTCCAGCCTGGGCAACAGGGTGAGACTCTGTCTTATAAAAAACAAAAAATAAAAACCAAAAAAACCCACAAATCATTGCATTTACCTTACTAAAGTTCCTAAGCATTAAACGATAGCAAGGTACAGCTTTAAACAGTAAGCAACGGTAACAACCCTGCAACCCCAAAAGCATTAAGAACCAAAAGAAACAATGAAAAAAAAAAAAAAAAAACCCAGGGCGCGGTGGCTCTCGCCTGTAATCCCAGCACTTTGGGAGGCGGAAGAGGGTGGATCACCTGACATCAAGAGACCAGCCTGACCAACATGGTGAAACCCTGTCTCCACTAAAAATACAAAAAATTAGCCAAGCGTGGTGGCGGGTGCCTGTATTCCCAGCTCTACTCAGGAGGTGGAGGTTGCAGTGAGCTGAGATTGCACCATTGCACTCCAGCCTGGGTGACAAAAAGCAAAACGCTGTCTCAAAAGAAAAAAAAAAAAAAAAAGCCAGGTGCCATGGCTCACGCCTGTAATTCCAGCATTATGAAAGGCCAAAGGTGTGGATCACTTGAGGACAGGAGTTCCAGACCAGCCTTGCCAACATGGTAAGACCCCATCTCTACTGAAAATACAAAAATTAGCCGGGCATGTGGTACACTCCTGTAATGTAATCCCAGTTTCTCGGGAAGCTGAGACACGAGAATAGCTGGAACTCGGGAGATGGAGGCTGCAGTGAGCCGAGATTGCTCCAGTGCACTCCAGCCTGGGAAACAGCAAGACTGTGCCCCCCCAAAATAAGGCAAAAACCTAAAACAACCAAAGAAGCTGGGCGCATGAATCTGGGCACCATTGCACTCCAGCCTAGGTAAACAAAGCCAAACAATCCTTCCACCGGCAAAAAACAAAGCAAAAGCAAATACACAACAAAACTCTCATTTCAACCACCACAACCAGGGAAGAGCGCGTACGCAGCCCCCACTATCACAAATTATGCGGTCGAGTTTCCCACATCTGGGAAAGCAGCGGGGGTCAGCATAATTGGAGTGTAATGGATGAGCCTCGCCCTGGGAAAACCACCTTCGTGATCATGGTATCTCCCCAGCCAGGTAAGTATGAGGTACTTGCCAGACCCCAGCAATCCCCGGTGCCACCCACATCATTGTAAACTGCGTGTAACTCCTGAAACGACTCTAATTGTACTCTGTCCACATATCGTGAACAAAATAGATTTTTATACTATATCTTAGTGTTGGCGACAGAGTTGTGCAAAAAGGAACGCCCTTCCAAAATGCAGTCTTTAATTTACTCCCCCTCCCGGCGTCACGTCATGCGTAGGCCTGGCTGGTCAGAGAGCACAGCTGCGCTCTCATCTGGGCCCGCTTCCAACCACCAGTTCCTCCTCCCGCTCGCATCAATGCAAGTGACGTCTGTCAGGCCATTTTCCTGACAAAAACGCACCACCTCCCTACTTTTGGCGTAGCCTAAGGCCTTCGGATCTCCCAGTATGGAGAGTTTCCTTGAGCAAACAGACGTGAATGAACTTTTAGTCGCGGGATACCCACGCTATGCACCAGCCGAGCATCATTTTCTCTTATTCCAAGAAGGGGAATAGGGCATGCTAGCAGGTTGTATTGCAGAGTGGAGGGTTTTGGAATCCAAGATCTGGACTGCAATCTAGTGTTCACAATGCAAGACTTTCGATGAGCTTATGGCCTCAACTTGTTCCTCAGTTTGTAAAACCTGCATTACTGTCCTTGGAGGAGTTCTTGTAAAGACTAAACCAAATAAATTAACGAATAGCTTAAACCTTAAAGCATAATTATAACATGTGAGTCACGCAATCCAATAAAAACCCTAAAGCAAACCAAGAAATACTAACAGCTAACATCTACTGTTTACCATGCACCTGGACTAAATTTATGGTTAATCCTCACAACGTTGAAGTAGGAAATGGAATCATCCCCATTTCATGGATAAAGAACCTGAGGCATGATGAAGATTCTTTGCTGGCCGGCTGAGGTGGCTCATGCCTGTAATCCCAATACATTTAGGAGGCCCAGGCGGGCGGATCACCTGAGGTCAGGGGTTCGAGACCAGCCTGGCCAACATGATGAAACCCCGTCTCTACTAAAAATACAAAAATTAGCTGGGTGTGGTGGCACGCGCCTGTAATCCCAGCTATTTGGGAGGCTGAGGCAGGAGAATTGCTTGAATCTGGGAGGCGGAGGTTGCAGTGAGCCAATGAGCCGTGATCACGCCACCACACTCCAGCCTGGGCGACAGAGCGAGACTCTGGCTCAAAAAAAAAATTCTTTTCTTGTTTGCTTGGCGAAACCTTAGTCAGGCTTCTGAATCTTCTCATAGGCCAGTCTGTGCATGTTCTTGTAAAATCTAGTTTTAGTAAAGGAACCCTACTAATTCAATTTAGCTGAAACCCAAATTCTCCAAATCTGATCAGGTTCCTCATCCTGCACCACCCCCCAGGTGATATCTGATCACCCCAGCCTGTCTTCAGCAAGAATCCTGTTAGATCAGTTTAGCCAGAATTCCTCTTACCCCTGATGTTTCCTCTTGGTAATTTTCCATCCACTGACCTCCACACTGCTCCTTGGCTATAAATTCCCATTTGCCCATGCTGTACTTTGGACTTGTGCCCAATCTTTCTCCTCTACTATAAGACCCCATTGCAGTGGTCCCTATACCTATCCTGATGGTCCTAAACAAAGTCATCCTTACAGCAAAAAATTCACCTCTCCCAGTTACCAAAGCCTCTTCTACTGATGTGCCTGGAGGAGCTACAGTAACTATAAACCCCTGCAAATGTGGAGGAAGTAACTAGAGCCTGGGTCCAGTCATGACTGTCTACTGAATCATCTTAGCCAATGCTCACTGAAGGCTCATGGTGCTCCCAGCACAGGGAGAAGAACTTCACACACCTTAACTCATTTAATCCACTCAATAATTCTACAGAGTAGACAATATCTCCATTTTGCAGATGAGAAAACTGAGGCCAAGAGAGGCTGATATATGTCCAAGTGGCAGAGAAGGAATTAAAATCCACATAGACATCCCCAGAGAGGACTTCCTTTTTTATTTTTATGCACACATAGACAAGGGTGACATCTATAGAAAACAATCTGGATCACCCAGAAAGCATGTGGCATCCCAGGTGAACTGCTATGTTAGGTAACTGGCCCAAGGGCTCTAGTCACCCACCCTAACATCCCACCCAAAGACCCTGAGGACTGGGGGGTCAATATATTACATCACACAGTTTGAGAAGCTGTAGGATGGAAACTTTCTGGCAAGTGAGTATCATTTGTTCCGGGTATATGTCAAATTAGAAAAAAAGGCTGAGAACCACTGTTCTAAGGCAAGCATAAAAAATGGAAACTGGCAATTATCAACACTGTATGAATGGAGGATTAGGGATACATCTATATTGTGTAAAAAAGGGAGAGACAATGCCAGGCGCAGTGGCTCACCCCTGTAATCTCAGCACTTTGGGAGGCTGAGGGGGGCAGATCACTTGAGGTCAGGAGTTCAAGACCAGCCCGACCAACATGGTGAAACCCTGTCTCTACTAAAAATACAAAAATTAGCCAGGTATGGTGGGGCATGCCTGTAATTCCAGCTACTGGGGAGGCTGAGGCAGAAGAATGGCTTGAACCCAGGAGGCAGAGGTTGCAGTGAGCTGAGATCATGCCACTGCACTCCAGCCTGGGCAAAAGAGCAAGACTCTGTCTCAAAACAAAAACAAAAACACCACCAAAAAAACCACCAAAAAAAGCAATAGAAAAAAAAAAAACAACAAAAAAAAGGAGGAGCCGTGGAGAGGAGTTTGTCACATTTGCTGAAAGTCACCACACGATGGCTATAGAATGTAACAAGCCAGCTGCTGGGCATGGTGGCTCACGCCTGTAATCCTAACACTTTGGGAGGCCAAGGTAAGTGGATCACTTGAGGTCAGGAGTTCGAAACCAGCCCGATCAACATGGTGAAACCCCGTGTCTACTAAAAATACAAAAATTAGCCAGGTGTGGTGGCGCATGCCAGTAATCCCAGCTACTCGGGAGGCTGAGGCAGGTGAATCGCTTGAACCTGGGAGGCAGAGGTTGCAGTGAGATTAGATCAGGCTACTGCACTCCAGCCTGGGCGATAGAGATACTCCATCTCAAAAAAAAAAAAAAAAAAAAAGCCAGCAACAGCTTGAGACTTGATTGAGGTTTAGCAAGAAGCACCCTCATGTGAATACGTGTTAACGAGATGTCAGGAAGGAGCACTGGTGCTGCTCTAATCTGATGTTACTCCCTTGCCCAAAGCCCTTCAATACTCCTTATTGTCCTCTGGATAAAGCCCCAACTCCATCCCATGCTCCTTGAGGCTCTGCATGGGCTGGCTCCACAGCTTTTCCAGCCTGCCTGTACTGTCCACCATGCTGCAGTGGCAGCCACAGCTACAGCTGCAGCCTCCTTCCAGCCTTAGAGCTTTTGCCTGTGTAGTTCCCCTTGCTTAAAATGTTTTTACCCTGCCTCTCCTGCTAAATCTAACTTCTCATGCTGAGTTCCCTCTGTTATCATAGTAAGAGTCCTTTAATTTCTCTTTTAGTCCTTATCACATCTCCAATCCATTCATTATTCCACTGTGTGATTATCAGTCAGTTTCCTGGGCTAGACTACAGACTGTCCAAGGACCTGAGAGTTTTCATCTGTCACTGCTGGAGTCTTAGGCTAGCAAAGTACCTTGCATGGAAGATATCTATACCTATCTACCTATATTTCTGCCTGTCCATCTGTCTATAGGATGCATGTGTATAATGATTAGAAAGCTGAGAAATGTGATAGAAAAGGAGTGTGGGAAGCCTGAATAAACTTTGAAAAGATAAAAAAAAAAAAAAAAATTGGGAAGGTAAGAATAAGGATCAAGGACCAAGATACTAAATTCAGCCAGGCGCTGTGGCTCACGCCTGTAATCCCAGCACTTTGGGAGGCTGAGGCAGGTGGATTACTTGAGGTCAGGTGTTTGAGACCAGCCTGGCCAATATGGAGAAATCCGTCTCTACTAAAAATATAAAAATTAGCCGGGTGTGGTGGCAGGCACCTGTAATCCCAGCTACTCGAGAGGCCGAGACAGGAGAATTGCTTGAACCCAGGAGGCAGAGGTTGCAGTAAGCTGAGATTGCGCCACTGCACTCCAGCCTGGGCTACAGAGTGAGACTCCCTCTCAAAAAAAAAAAAAAAAAAAAGTGACTATACTTAATATATTCTTGAAAATTCCTGAGAGCATATGTTAAGCATCTTTACAACAATAAAATGATACAAGTACATATGGTAATACATATGTTAATTAGCTCCCTGTAGCCATTCCACAATGTATAATACTTCAAAACAACATGTACACAATAAATATATACAATTGGGACACTGATTACCATTACCTTTCCAAATATTGCTTTCACTCCACCTTCTGGAACTCCCATTGCATTTATATTGACCCCTCTCATTCTATTCTCTATCTCTTTGAAACTTTCTTGCATTTTCCCATCTCTGCATTTCTTTGAGCTACATCCTGGGTAATTTTTCAGATATGTCTTCACTAATTCTCTCTTTGGCAGTGTCTGCTGCTTAACCCATTCACTACGATTATTATTCCAATTATTGTACTTTCATTTTGAGAAATGAATAGACTAGAGAGGGTTTCCTTTTGCTTCTGCCTGGTGCCTGGGGCATTACCAAGCCAGGCTAATTTAAAGTAACTTTTTGTCCCATCCCCTAACATATACATATAGCAGTATGAATTCTGGCCCATTTTGAGGGACTGTGAGTTGTGAGATAGTGGTAAAGATTTCTCTGCCCCTTCCCATTCTCAGGCTGAGGCTGAGACAGGCACATATCTCTAACATCTTTCTCTTGGGGAGGGGGCATTCCTCAGAACTGAGGGTGTTCTTCTCCTGGGGTGGTCGCTTTATAGAATAGGGAGGGGCTCTCTAGTCAGACCTCCCACCTGGATCAGGCCCCAGGCTTTGTCTCCTGCCTGTGGTCCATTAAAAGCCAGATCCAGAGCTTCTGAGGATGGCCAATGTCCTCAGGAAATACACAGGGTCCATCCCTGCCT